GGTTTATTATTATTCATTACTTGGTAATTTGAATTTAATCTAGCAATTTGTAATATGCATGTATATAAACTTGAATGTCACGTGAATACGTTGTGGTGAGATTAATGATAGTAATATATAGTAATAGTAATAGACAGAAAAATATCTGCCAAAAATTAATTGTCGTTGTGACATGAATTCACTAATAGTAATAAAATCCATTAATATAAATATTAAGATAAAATACATTTAATTATAATAATAATTAGTAAAAGAAGGGAACTACATCTAAACCAGTTATAGCAAAAATTTATTGTGGCTATGGCAAGGTTTTATTGACTGTATTAGTAGAAACGTGTTAGCGAATAGCCCTATGGTGACATTTTTCGGTTCGAGCTTCCTTTATATTAATGCGATTCACTATTAACCGGAATTATAGTGTCGCAATCACCTTTACTCTTTTAAAGTACTTTCAAATCGTAGTGTTTGCAGTCATATTCAATGGAGTTTTCCCGTCCTATTTTAATGATACACGCTAAATCATTAGAAAATTAAACGAAAGAGTAATCGAACTGAAAAAGAGAAATTACAAGATTCAAAATTTAGTAATTAGCCGAAATTATGGCTTTACTGGATGGTTGTATAAGATTTACTCTTAAATACATAAAATTAGTTATTGCATGCATGAAATAATTAAAAAATCGTAGAATAAATCTTTCATGCCATAACTTTTTAATTATTAATGTCTACAATCCTATAAATTTACCGACAGATTTCATTATGAGCAGCTTTATAAAAAAATTAAGTTACAATATTGTCTAATGAGACTATTCCCTCTTAGAAATATAAAAAAACCTTCCAAAAGGAACAATGTACAATTAAACTGCAAGCATATCACATTATCAAATTCATTCCCTTCTTTACGAGCTTTATTTGTTCTTTTACATAAATACCAATTCCTTAATTATAATTTTTATGATCTTCTTTTGTTATTATATTATTCTATTATTACTATCACCTTTTATTATGAAATGAAAAAAATGAGAAGGTCACTTTCAACAATTTTGCAATTAACAATTGATAATTTTGATGCAATCAGTCCCAGATATTGTAATCAGACTTATATTGAATCCAACGATCCAACTATGAGTTATCATATCTTTTACGCTTTCCAGGATTAAATTTGAACAAATTATATCATTAAAATTCCATGATTCTGTTGCAACAAATATTTCCAAAATCATACAAAATTTTCTTTGTTTAAAATCTGAAGTAATAATGGTTAACTACCATCTTAATGTTCATGTAAATTTATTTCTTGAACAAAAACCACCAGTTCTATACGCAGACTATATAATGTAAGAAAAAAATAGTCGAATCAGAATTAAGAAGTTACATTGGAATACATTGGCGTATGGAATCTATTAAGGTCGAAAACTTGTCAACATGTGCAAACGATTTAATCAGACTAATAACAAAATTTAAAAATAAATATGACACTAAGGGTGTTTATTTGGCTACATGCTACCCTTTGTATCCAAGATATGAATCTCGGCCAACAACCTTTAGAGACTTGATAAATTTTCATCGTGATGCAGTGAAAAAACTGCTAGATTCAGGACACAAGATAGATGATTATTTATCAATGAATATACTTAAAGATATGAGAAACGATCCAAGATGCAAAGATGAATTTGAAGGTCCTGGTATTATTAGAATCATAGATAAATTGACGTGTATGAATTTAACTGTTTTGATATATAGTTCAGCACGTTGTGCCAGAAACTCCAGTTTCACCGCAAGAATTATCGATGAAAGAATAAACGCCCATAATAATGAATTTTTGGTTTTAACTGGTACTAAAATCGAATAGATTATGTAATAATTTTAGAATTTTAAATGATGATCATTTTTATCAATTGATTCAAAAAAAAAAAGTAATGACAAAGCTGATTGTAGTGGCAATTATTGACGATTTACAGCAAGGTAAAGGGATTAATTTTTTTTCTTTATGCTAACTCTAGAAACTTACCAATTAAATTAATAATAACTTTGTCAGAATATACTAGATCATCAAAATTATGTGTTTGGTTTCCAAGAACATGGTGTTTAAAAAACTTCATCAAACCAAATCAGATAATATCAATATCTTTGATCTCTCCAAAAAATGTTAACAACAATAATTCAATAAATAAAAAATGTTATCATTATGCATCAGTCAAATTTTATTCAAAACGTTCAGAATTATTTAAATCAAATAATTTATTTCCTAATCAATTAAAATTCCATCTGCCCACGACAACGATCACTTCTACTTCTACTATCGATAATTTATCACAATTGATGAATAATTTGAATATAAGTTCTTCTTCTTCTGCTTCATTGGATGTAAATTCTAAAATAATGGAAAAAGAGGGTGAAACTGAAATTGTTATTTCAAGATCTTTAGCTTGTAATTTAGGTGTTTGTTCAGTTCAAGATAAAATTGATAATATAAAATTTCCAATTAGTTTTATCTTTGAAAAAAAGGTGACTATAAACATATATATTTATAATTAGAAAAAACTTTTTTTTAATTAATAAAGTTTAATTATTTGTTATTAGATAGACAATATTCCAATTGCAACAGAAGTGATTTTATCTAAACTATCATCACCACCATCAACGCTGCCGTTAGGAACTCGATTTAAACAGATAAACTATTATTTTAATCAAGAGATTTTCAAGAGAGCAAATCTTGGGTCAATTGTATCACGTGATTCGATTATTTATCAAAATGGATGTAATGGAATACAACTTTATAAAGTATCAAGAGTGAATTCTTCTTTTATTTTGACTGATCCAGCTGATTCTGTTGCGAGAATTGCAGAATCAACCAAATTAGAAATTAATGTAAATAATAATAATAATGTCGACGTTGATGATTTTAGATTATTGTTGAATGGCTTCCCGGATAAATCAAAATGGGTCAAAGATATTGTTAATGAAATTGGCAGCTTAGATGATGTGGTTACAAGCATTATCGATCAATTATATACATTTGTGATTACTGCAATCAGTGCTAACAATCAGGGTTCAAAAAAAAAAGTTTTCAAGAGGAGTAAAGGAATTTTGTTAATAGGAAAACCTGGCACAGGAAAAACATCCTTAGCCTTACGTATTGCGGGTAGGAAATGTTTTTTTCAGAATTAATCAATTGGTTTTATTTTTAAAATTCTTATTTTTTTTAAAAAAAAAGAAACTTCTAGATTGCCATATCTGATAATTAATTGTCCTGAAATATTTAAATCTGGTAACTAACTGGTTGGTTATATAATAGATATTTTTATTGTCAATTACATATTCATTCTATAAATTAATTTATCTATTTAATTGAAATTTGTCTTAATTAAAAAAAAAAGACGAAGGCATAGTAGAAAATCAGATTGTTTTACTCAGAAGAGATCTCAGTAATCTACGCAAGTTCCTTTTCATTATGAACTATCGAAACCCTCAACGATGGTCTCAGTTTACCATGAAGAAATTTGACTTCGCCACTTTGCAGTTGGTAGAAGACTTCATGCGGCAGCACAAATTACAACACACTCGGGAAGTGTGGTTACAGAACATCCGTGAAATACTAGATACCCCACATGAAGACATCAAAAACAACTCGCGAATCTTTTTTATAGATAGAGACGATTACAGGCAGCGCATGATCGATGGTTTTCTCGTAATTTGGCAAGCTGGTGAAAATGACGAGTTTATTATAACCAGCAACGGGTTTGGAATCTTCGAGGGAGTGACTGGGACAATGGTTGGTGGTTTACCATTCCAATTTGCCTACCATTATTTTTATGTCATCTCTCCAAAGCTAGCGTTGGTCCTCTGTCATACTTCGCTCCGAAATGAAAGAAAAGAAATTGGATCCGACGTTTGGACTGAGACTTTTAAGACTATGGGTTTTAAACGTTCGATACTCGAAAATGCTCCTCATCCAGCAGCAATTCCGAATTATGTAGCGACTCCAAAATATGTACCAAGTCATGAATATGGCCGCAGCACTGATAGAAATCCAGAGACGGCATTTGACTCGCTTCTAAATAGCGTAGGTCTCAAAAGACAGGAGGATGATATGTTTACCTTTCGCTTTGCCAAAATCCCTTCGGCTACCGTACACCTCGTGAATTCTATATTGCTCAATGAGACTAAACCGGATCTAGTTTTGACTTTCTCTTCTCGTCCATACCTCTATAAGACAATTCTCAAGTATCATAAAAGCAATGTCGGTGTACAACATGATTTCTCGAGTTTGAAAAAAATGTTGTTTATGGAATTAAACAAAACTCACGAGGAAGACTTACATCTCCGGAAAAAAATCCCAGCTGGCCGCACTTTTAATTGGAATGTACGTGGAATGGATTCAGAATCCTGATCAATGTCAGGAGGATGTTACATATATCGCTCTTGTTTTCTTTTATTTTATTCATATTTGGGCCCATGTTGGCGCACAACGGCTTATGAGGACCTCTTCAATTACAACATTTTTCTATTTCATATATTAGTAGACTATATAGTATGGAGTATCTTTAATACTTATTTTCTTAGTTGGTTTCATGCATAAATATCTCCTACCGGATTCAAACCGGATTATTATTATTATTACTATATTAATATTATAAAACAATTAAAGACTAGTGCCGTAAATTATGATGATGGTAGTAATTGTATTTACGGCATATAAAAAGTGGTTGCAATTACCTTTGTGACCACTTTTGCAACCATCCTTTTTCCTTTTTTGGATTACGGCACTAGTCTTTAAAAACAATAATTATTTATTGAGTCCTAATTACGATGTGCTATAATATTGACATATCTTCTCGTGGGGCTCGTAACAATTATCAATTGATAAATTCTTTCTAATTTTGGTTTTATTAGATTCTGCTTTGAGAATCTTCTTTCACATGGTACACTTGAAAAGGATATTGTGTATGCAATTTCAATCATTCTAATTATTATTTTATCAAAATTAGTAAGATTGTTCCAATATTCACATCACAACATTATTTTGATATACAATTTTTTTATTAATTAATGATCAAAAATTTATCACCCTATTCCTTTCCTCTTCTATAATTAGAAATATTTACAAATAGTGCGTATGTTAATAATTTTTATTTAATTAAATTAATTAATCACAGCAGTTGAAGATGATCCAAACCATATTAATATAAAGACATGTTCAATCTATTCAGTATGTCCAAATTTTTTGCTACTTTCCTCCAGGGGTTAGCACTTACATTTGCCAATACAGAATATCTGTTCTTGTTCCTTCTTCGCTTTGTTAATCAGGCAGGTTTTACTTGCCCCTGGAAATTTTTGTACATATACCACCTTTTCGAAAATATCTCATATGATAAAATCGAAAATGGTACGTGATAAATAATTTGTTAAATTGGTTCTTAGAAACTCAAGAAAGATATATAGTACTTTGGTTAGTGCCATTTTTTTGGTACTTTTGGTACCTGGTATTTTGCGTTACCAAAAATTACCAGAATATGAAGCAGCAATAGCCCACAAAAAAAAAAAAAGTCTTAGCGTCCTTTGGACTGACTCCATCACTTTGCCTATTTTGACAGAATATAGAGAAATATTAATTCAACTAAAAAAATAATATCATCATCTATATTAAAAAACTTTTGACTTTAGTCATTCACATGATAAAAGTACTGACTAAATGTAGTTTCTCACCAAGGGCCATTTTAACGATTTGACGAAAGTAAAGATTGTTGTCGAGGATTAGTGAACCTTATCTGATTAAGAACTTGGATAAATTCTTTATCAAATAAATTTATTAGACAAATATATTTACTAAAAATTAATAGTATAAATTTTAATAAAAATTACTCAAAAAGTTTTTGAATTTCTTTAAAAAAAGAACATTATTTTTGCCAAGTCTATTTCCTTTTTTTTTTGTAAATAAATTCCCGGCTGATGAAAACAATCTCTCGGATTGTACTGAGCTTGCTGGTATTTCCAAGTAAATTCTTGTTTCAAACAAATGGTATACAAATTCTATATGGTTTATTTGGAGTGCTATATAGTATTATTACTAGAGATGGGAGATTGCATGAAAATTTTATGCGCATTTTATGCATTTTTTTTAAAAAAAAAAAAGATTTAGAATATATTATATATATACAGTGCCTAAAAAAAAAAAAAACAAAAACAAAAATAAGCATCTAAATATCATTTTCAATATTATTATTACTGCCACTGATTTCTTCTTCACCACTTTCTATTCTAATTGCTTTATCATCACCATCATCACATTCAATCATCGTCAATGATTGTAATATCCATATTAATATTATCATTCTTAGTATTTTTGGATATTTTAATTTGTTAAATATACACCAATTTAAAACGCACATTCATCCGGGAGTCAATTTGTTTCTCTTTTTATCATGTATAAAAGAAAAAGCGGACCAATTCATTTCAGAAGCAAGCTGATGAAATAGGAGCTGAAATTATCAATTCTACAAGGTTTAACAAAATGAGCCAAATTTTTGGTTTTGTCATATTTCTTAAAATACTATCAATAATATAATCGATGAAAAATTAAAAATTCAATTTTTTTTGAATAGAATTATGTATGGGACATTGCATGACTTGAAAAATAAATCATGCGCATTTCACGCGTATGTCATAAACAAAATTGACGATCGTCGGAAAAAATATTAATATTAATACTGGGCGAAAAAAAATTTTTTTACTATAAAACTCAAAATGTCAACTTATTTTTCATCGTTAGAAAATTTAAATTTATTACTTAACAAACTTATTAATACAAAAAATGATACCTTATCATTAAAATACATTAATAAACTTATAAATGATTTAACAAAGTTATTGAACGAGCCAAATTTTTATGATGTAGAAATTCGAGTTGGAGTAGGTGACGATATTAAAATTTTCAAAGCTCATTCCAGCATTTTGAAAGTAAGGTCTCCATATTTTAAAACTGCTTTATCAAACAATTGGATAAAAAAATCTGATGATGGTAGCATTATTTTATTTAAAAAAGAAAATATTCCTTCAAATGTATTTGAGGTTCTTTTAACGTAAGATTTATTTTATTAATTGAATAATTAATAAAATTGAATGATTGCAATAATTTAAATTATTTTACTTTATTTTATAGGTATATTTACAATGGGACTCTTAATATAGATAATTTGGATGAAATTGGAATTTTTAAACTCCTTGAGGCATGTGATGAATTAAACTTTGATGAATTAATTAACGACTTGCAAGATTATTTGATTAATGTAAAAAAAGAATGGATTCAACAGAATTTAATTTATGCTCATAAAGTCTCATCATGTCATCAATCATTCATTTCACTTCAGAATTATTGTAGTGAAATAATTAATAAAGATCCAGAACTATTTTTTAAATCTAATGACATTGCAACCATTGAAAAGTCTATGCTTATAACTCTGTTGGATAGAAATGACTTAGAATTAAAGGAAATAGATATTTGGGACTACACTATTCAGTGGGGGATAGGACAAAGTAAAGAATTGGAAAAAGATATTTCAGAATGGAAGAAAGAGGATTTCATCATATTGAAAAATAATATAAAGGATATTATTCCTTCAATAAGATTCAATCAAATTTCTTCAAATGATTTTTCTGATAAAATTATTCCATTTAAAAAAGTCCTTGATAAAGAAGTATACAAAGAAATTTTTCTATTCTATCTTAGTGATAAATGGCAACCAAAACTGTTACCCCAAAAAGGCCCAAGATCAAAAACAATGGTACAAACAGGTAAAGAAATAAGAACAGGAAAATTATTAAATCTGCAAATGAAATCTCTAATTTCAAGTTGGATTAACTACAAAAATGACTTATATAAAGAAAACAATATACCTTATGAATTTGAATTAATTCTTCAGGGTACTCTAGATGGGTTTTCTAGATCTGTATTTGAGAATAAATGTTTTAATATTGAACAAACTGTAGCTGTTGTGAAACTTGAAGATACAGGAGAATTAGTTGGTGGTTATAATCCAGTTGGCTGGAATATAAAGGAAAAGTCCCCTGATGATAAATATTGGATTGAAACAAATGAAAGTTTTATTTTTAAAATTGATAAAAATCAGATAAATAATTCGATATTAAGCAGGGTCAGAATTCCTAATAATGCAATATATCATAATGGTCGAAAGATTAGTCAAACTGCAGATAATATAAAATTTCATGAAAAGACTATAAATTTTTGGGATTTACAGCTAAATAATAGTATTAATAATGAACCTTATTGTTTTTATTATTATCATCCTTATAGTTATGAAAATAAACTAAATCTTAGAAATAAAGATAGACAATCCCATTTGATAGAAGAGTATGAAGTTTACAGGATAGTAAAATCAATTTAATTTAAGATACATATATTGTATTTATATATTTATAACATGCAAACTGTAATATATTGATGATGTATCAGAGTCAAATATGTATTACCTGTATTATGATGATTTAATATATTTTTAACATAACTTTACAATTTACTGTCTATCCCCTCACTATTATTATTACTATATATATATACTTCACTATATTTGAGAGTTTACTTTCCAAGTTACCTTGATATATAAAGAAAAAGAAAAAGAAAATATTTACATAGAATTAGTATGAAGACTAATCAATCCTTTGCTCCCAGTACCATCTAGAAAAGTGGTTTTATTGTTGAAGATATTTTATTATATGTATATTATTATGTGGACGATGTAGAATTTCAATTTCACATATAACATGTACATACATTATAACAAATTTCTAAGAAAAATCACATGTATGTTGACCAGCCTATCATTATATCCAGAACTATTATTAGTCTTGATCTTTGAACAACATGTAATATAAACATAATATTCATCTACTCCAAGATCATTTGCTCCACTTGGGTTCATGATTAGAATCTACAGCAGCTTTGTAAAAATCATAGATAAAAAAATCAATGACTGCATGGCCACATTCACATACATACATGGTTCCTCTTTCCAGAGAAGGCTGTGATAATGGCATCTCATCTAATCAAATAACCTTATTTACTGACATTGTCATTTTTTGTGGATTCCCCTCCAGTACCAGGTTCTGAAAAACTAAGGATGACTGGGTATCCTGCTAATGCTGCATTTTGAAATCTGTGCTGGATACTTAGCTCTAAAATTCTCCTTTAGAATTTTAATTATATTCTTCAAATTTTCATCATCAAATGCTTCAATAACGGCATACCCAACTGCTGGACAGATAAGCTATACTTCATGTTATCATACATAATCATGCCCGAAATTTTCCAGATTTCAGATAGTCTTTAACCCATAAACACTGGCAGCAAAAATAGAACTATCTTTCACTGCTTCTTTAAGCCTCTGGGAATCTAGTAATTTTTGCATTCTAACTACATAGTAGTCATTTTTTTATACATGTACATTCTTGAAACAGCATCTTTATCCTCATTACTAATAATTATCCATACTTTACAATACCGGTGAAGCTCTCATGGAAGATTGCCTGTTAATTTTTTCACGCCCCATTCTTTGTACTTATTTGGCAGATGTCCTTCTTGTAGAAGCTTTTCTGCAAGAATAAACCAATAAATTAGAAAATGCACTCTATATCGGTGAACTAGAGGTATCATGCTACACTATATTCAAAAATAGCAATAAAATCTTTTTTTTTTCACGGACTAGTTACATTACAAAAGTGAGTGGTTTTCAGAATATGATGATTTTTGAAGAATGTTTTTTCACCATTGGCATTTCTTCCCCTCAAAAATCTCTCTATACCGATAAACTATAGATACCATATTACAATTCACCTAAATATGGAACTAAAACCTTACTTTTTTGTGACTAGTAGCATTCCAAAATACACATAGTTGCTTCGCACTCAAAAAATAAATTATAATGTGACACCTCCAGTTGTGCGTGAAAATGAAATCTGTCAAAATTTCGTCCCCAAAATTTTAATTATTATTATAAATTTCGATTTCACGTAATTTCAATTTCACAAACAACATACCACTTGATTTACGATACATAAAAGTTGTTCCAGACTTTCGAAATACCTAAATGAAACAAGAAAGAGAAAATGTGAACAACGATTAAAAAGGCAATATGGCCAAGTTATTGTTGTTATCGCTTTATAATAATTCTGTTTTTATTAGTATATTAATATCACGAACTAAAACTATTTTTTTTACACTAAACTAACAATAAAATCATGTCTAGCTCATCTGCTCCATCAATTGAAATTTTCACCCCTTTATATATCTTTTTAAAAACCACATCTTTAGATAAAATTACCATTTCCAATATAATTACTCAACAATGGGAATGTGTCAAAATTAAGGATAAAGAACGTAGATGACATCTTGAATCATTGCAAAATATTAATCAGGTATTTTTTACCGCTTTGATATTCGTATATTGGATAATAAAGTGATGAATAAATATCTAGACATTAATAAGTATAATAAGATTGAAAAGTAACATATTGTCAGCGAGAATCCCTTTTATTATACTTATTATGATGATTTTTTAAGACAATGATGCCGACTATTTCTGATTAGGATGGATATTTGTGCAAAAAAATAATGATGCCTTATTAACCCATCTTTATATTTATAGATGTTATTTATTAGGAACGAACTAACATCATTAAAAAATATGGGGCTCTTACATGGGAAATTCGATGAAGAAGTGAATTGGAAAGATTTAGCCTTAAATAATATATTGCTTTTGAAGAAAAAATCAAGTTATTTCGTTTATCTAATTTGGATTTTCTTTTTTTACGACTTTTTTCAATCTATTAGAATGAAGAGACACCGCACATGAGCATATTTTCACAAAAGTGAGATGAATTATCAAATGACGATCCATTATGTATTGGAATGATTGATCTTAGTTTAGAACTCGCGCTATATAATAATTAATTTTTTTTTTTGGAAAAAATGAATAGACTGATCTGCAATATTGATTTGTGGTTACCTTTAATAACTGCATAGAAAAGATTCGTAGAAAATTGCTAAACTAAAATGATGTTAGCCGGCTATATTTACATGCACAATTTCTAATTTTGATAATGGTTTTTCGCGTTAATTTACAAATTAGGTAATGAGTGGCTTAGCACTAAAGATTTTTAAACGAACAAGTCACTAAATAAAATATATTCTATGAAATTTATTTTTCACCTTCATATCCTCAATTTAAAATCCTTTGCTTTTTTTTGAGATTAAATACAAATGTCTTGGGCTCTTGCTTCACATTCCACGCTAATTAGTGATTACCGTCGTCATCGAGTTGGAAATGCCTCACCACCACCGGAAAACAATCATGTTAGATTGCGGTATTTTCAGAAAAGGTGTGTGCTCTATATCATCAAGTTTTGATGTTTTTAAATAAAATTTATTGTACATATTTTTTCTTTTTTCTTATGCACGCAATTACATTTTGATATAATAATAGAATCCCAGGTTTTAGTGTCGCACCTTATGATCCCCCACCTCCGCTGTCACAAAATCCTAGACAACCAAGTAAATATCAGGCGTGTTTAATGTGACTTGACCAACTTTTTAATTTATATTTTTTTTCATAATTAGAGATTTGCATCATCGGAGCAGGGATGTCAGGTATGTCATATAAATATTCAAAATAATAATAAATCTTTTGATGACATTATTTAAATCATTGTTTCTCAACTCTGTCATAATGAACGGATAGGACTATTTTCTGCGTTACTCTTACAGAAAGCTGGTATTCAAGATATTACGATTCTTGAATGTCAAGATCGCGTAGGCGGACGTGTGCATACACAGTATTTTAGTGAAAAAAAGGAAGAAAAATTATATGGTGAGCTTGGAGCTATGAGACTACCGGTAACTCCAGAACATCAAATGGTGTTCGATACTATTGATTATTTGAATGAGCGCATTCCTGAAGACGACCGGATCCATCTTATCAATTTTATCTTTTCAAATGACAAGTATGAAATTATTCAATTTTTTATCATGTGTTAAATAGTGATTGATTGAGGCGTTAGCATTAAATCTATTTCTGACACAATCAATAATCAAACAGCGGTTTATATTTTTATAATGATTCCCGCGACAATGGTCAAATTGGGGATATAGCATGGGCAAACGATTCTCAAAATTTCAACAAGCTTGGGTTCGCATCAACTGTTAATCCTGATTACCAAACATTACTCAAAAAAGCAATGGGTGATTTTATCGATGCCCTGAATTCAGATTTTGACTCAGGGCTCGATTATCTCTTGAAATTTGACCAACATAGTGTGTACTCGTATCTCAAAGAAGTCTACTTTCCTAGTCTCGATCCAAACTTGAATCAAAAGTATAATGTTGATGAAACCATCGGTGCGATGGAAATGACAGAATCTGCAACAGGATTATTTAGACTTTCGTTTGTTGAAGCTGTGATGGATGCTTATACATTTTCGAAGGTTTCCCAAGAGTGGAAAACGATTGATAACGGAATGCAACGATTTCCTAATGCATTCCCGCTTGTTTATGCAAATGAAAAGCGTGGAAAAGTAGATGTTAAGTATAAATGTAAAGTTTATAAATTAGAAAACATAGATGTAGATGGAATATTGAAATTGCGTGTACATTGGGAAGAAAACGGATCTGATAATGTGCGTGTTTTTGATAGAGTTATAATTACTTGCCCATTGGGCGTCGTTCGTCATTGGGAATTACCTGGTTGGTTATGCAAAAAATTAATATTTTCTTTGGGTAATTAATTTATAGCGTTACTGACATTTACGTTTTGTAGAATTAAAAAGTTTAGAAGACCCAAAAACAAGCGATAATTTTTATTACAAAAGACGTGCAATTCGAGAATTGAATTATGATAACTCTGCTAAAATCTTTTTGAAATTCAATTCTCGCTTTTGGGAAAACCAAACGGATTCACCCATTGTCGGAGGTAGCTCTACAACTGATCTCCCAATTCGGACAGTCATCTATCCATCATATTATGTTGGCATGCCAATAGATAAACCTGCCATCCTTCTCGGCTCTTATACTTGGGCAAATGATGCAGCAAAATTTGCTCCATACTCGCAACAGGAGAATGCCAGACTTTGTATTAAAGACCTTAAAATTCTCCATGGAGATCAGGTGGAGAAAGAATGGGATAGTGACCCAAAATATAATTCATCCATCTACTGGCCAAATGACCCAACCACTGTTGGAGCTTTTGCTCTTTTTGGTCCAGGACAATATAGCGACCTAATTTATCCAATGATAAAACCAATGTATAATATACATTGGGCTGGTGAATACACTGATATACATCATGCTTGGATTGTTGGGGCTTTGAATTCAGCTGTTCGAGTTGTTAAAGAAATTTTGATTCATTCTGCTATGGAAGAAGAATGGAGGGAGTTGATCAATGAACAACCATTGAAAAATTGGCACGGGCATTTAGAGGACGGCAACACAACATATTAATGTCAAAGTGTCATATTTGGTTAAAAATTTTATCAATGTGATCATGTCTTATCATATAATTAAACAACCCATTTTTTTTTGTATATACTTAGCTCAATTACATTTGCTTATTCTTTTGCCCTATAAAAAGATGGAATATCCTATATACAGAAAGGTTCTTTTTTTGAAATATACAGAACCCTACCAAAAATGGAAATTTATTCTATAAAAAAGGAAACTAAATTGCAGCTCAAATTTTCGTAACGTCCTCGTGATGGTTATTTATATGTGACGATTAAACTTGTGAGTTCAACTCTAAAAATAAATTCTTATTTGTCATGTAGGTTCTGTATATTTCATAAAAAGAACCTTTCTGTATATCAGATGACCCTAAAAGATTTGGTAGTTACATAGTCTTAAAACCATGTAACTAGTTTGCTAGACTATGTATCATCTAATGGGGCTAGAGTATGTATCTACTAGATAGACATAACTATGGCTATTAACCTAGTAAGTCGAGTTGTATGCTGTGTTGGTTGGTACAATTTCTTTCATTCGAGGTCATGCACATTAATGTGGTTGCTGGCTTTCATTCAATTATCAAATGTTTTCATAGATGCTCCCAATGAATAGGTTAGAAATATTGCTCACCTGTACATTTCAAATTCTGACATTTACATAGAGAAACTATTCTCTCTACAATTTTTTTAATGATAGGATTCACTCCATGTATAAGGCAACCTGAAATTAACTATTATAATAATCATGTTAATTTAAACATTTATAAAAAAAATATCTATAAAATAATTTTGTTAAATTTATTATTAAGAATCTTATGAGCCTTTTTCATGTTGGCTGCATTATCAGTCAAAACTGCAACAACTTTATCTTGGCCAACTTCACTAATTACTTCTAATTTTTCTGAGATATATTCAGCAG